GTCACGTGATTAAACTATATGATTTCCTTATTTGATTTTATGACAAGGGGGGGAGGAAATCCCAAAAAATCAAATGATATCATTTCTGATCCTCCCCTTACAGGATTTACTACGCTCACCTGTGGCCATATTTATCATAAACTTTGTATAGAAAAAAAGCTTCTGAACTCTTGCCTGTTTTCTGGTTATAAAAAAAACGTTAACACTATAAAAGCTAGGAGGGGTTCGCAATCATTCCAATCAAGCGGTGTTTCAGCTATATCAATTCTGATAGGCAAAAAGTTTACAATAACTTCGTCAATAATACACAAAGATCTATGAAAAATATGAAAATTGTCATGTATCAACAAACTGAAAGTAAACAAAGCAGTTTAACATGTGCAAAATGTTTTGAAGATATTGTCCAAGTCTTTACTACTTAAAGTATTACCGTTTTCTTATTCTGACTTTACAATCGAAGACTCTGCAAATTTTTTTCGCTTTAACGCAACTTCAGAGAAGGATATTAAAGTATAATAATCATGATATTTCAATTTGTAATGCAAAAAAAAATCAATCAACACAATTTAAGTGGCCAATCTGTTTGTAATTCGCCAGTATCATGTATTATTTTATTTTTTTCCTTGCCCATACATATACTATACATGGGTATATATAATGCTAATAAAATTAGATAAACACATAATATTAATATGATTTTTCATAACATAACTCTAAATACAAAACAAAATAGGCTACTATTACATAACCATTTTGGTTATTTACAGATAGCAGATTATATTAAAGTCTTATTCTACCAATCTGAAAACATTTCTGAAGTTATCTCTTTTATCCTTTACTTTCTTTAGATAACTCTTGTATGATCACTTGACACTTGAGAAGTCTGTCCTAGATATGTACAAAAGTTAATAACTTATTTTAATAGGATTGAATAGAATAACATACTATAACATATCACATAATATATTATAAGCTTAAAAATACGCATGTATTCTCCTATAGAGGATAAGCAAATGGAAAGGTGGCGCTTCTGACTTCAATTTCTTTGCATATCCGTAGCTTATAAAGGGATACTTCCATAATTTTAATTCGGTCTTTTACAAATTATTATATCAATATCAATATATCAATATATATGTAATACAAGAAATAATTTGCATAACAATGATTTGAATGTTATATATTTTAAGTTTCTTAGCAGTCTCAACACTAGCGTTAAGAAACTTTCAGAGACTTATGAGAAAAATGTCTACTCCAGTATTAGAGATATTTCTGAATCTTTGAAAGTATGTTTTCTATCTTGTTGAAATGGACCTCCTGATGATTCCATATTCATTACATCTATATTATATATAAGGTCTGTGACCAGTGCATCAGCTTTCTTAGATACTGGCTCACAAATTGGATCATCTACGAATTCTGTTACCTTTGTTGACATAATTTCCTTTTCAATCCAGTACATCGTAATAGTCTTAAACATATATTCAATGAGTTTAAATGGTGTTAACACCCTTTCAACGAGGAATTTTCTCTCTGAATTGTACCTCATGAAAGCATATTTTGGATTGTATTTGATCATTAAATAAAATTTTTTTAATGTTAATTCGAATATTTCGTATAATTTTTTGTTTCTATCTATGATGTTTTCATCCTGCAGATAAAGTTTTTTACAGCCATACCTTAAGAGTTATTCCTAGACTAGTTAATATCCTCTGTTCTTTCTCATGAGTTTTGATCTCGTTTACTATCTCAGAATATCTTATATTAAGAGTATTTTTAAGGGATTTAAACCCAGAAATAACTTTAGACAATATAATACCAAACTTATATGATGTAAGGATCAGTTTATGAGAAGTCAAAAATAAATCTAACTTTTAATTGTTAGTTTGTTTATCGTTGTCTGCCTAAAACGCTATTTGTTTCTTATCGAACTCTACTTTTTTATTTCTATTTTTTCAACTTGAGTTTCAAATTTAATTCTTGAAGGTGTGTTAATATCTTCATCATCATTTCCAAGTTTCACTTTCTTTATATCTCGTTGAGCCACATCATCAATTTCTTTAGCAAATCTTTTTCCACGAATCTTGAGAATATTCTAAAAGAAAATGATTCTAAATTAATACAATATAATTGAAAAAACACATGCAAAGTACATAGGCTTACACTTTCAAATGAAGCACTGACTCTGAATTAGCTAACTGTTCCCTATATTTCTTCTCAGAAGTTATTACTTTCTAGAACATTTTGATTGCTTTACTTTCCATTATTTTTTGTGTTAGTGTTTCATAATGGCGAAGGAGACGTCTTCAGGTGATTTTGCTTCTAAGATCAATTATAAATCTTTCTTATATGAATGATGCACAGCTATCTTTTGAAAGCTAACCAGGATTTGACTTTTCTTAGTCTCAAGAAACTCAACAAGGGACCAGTCGTTCCACATAGTTTTAAAGAAATAATTGTCAACATTGAACTTAAGATGCTCTAGGGGACCCAAATCATATTAAAGTCTATATGTAAAAGTTATAAAAGATTTATATCCTCTTAGATAACACGTTTCATCAAGATATAAAAATGTAAACACAAAAAGTCAAAATAAAAAAGTAGAGGATTGATATTTAAGATAACATCAATGATCAAATATGTGCTATTAGTAAGCCCTCCTGAAAGTAAGTATCCCAGCCTGAATTATCATGACTTTAGTCAAAATTATGAGGACCTTGATCAGTATTAAGTTTAAAAAAGGGGTGCTTAATACATTCTGCAGAGTTGTTAACATTGTCAAACTACCCCAAGAGCACCCCAAAAAATTCTACGTAAATCATATGATTATCACATGACTGATCATCATATGACTGATTTATATATAATAAATTAAACTTTTATGATCGTGTTTATATAAAGATATTTTTTTCACTTTTAATATGAATTCTAATACTAGTTTTTACAAAAATGTAAAAAATATCGAAAAAGTTTACCTTTGGAAGTCTTTATTAATGAAAATACACGTCAATTTAAAACTTATAATATATACTGCCTCCAATCTTCTCTACAATATAAAAAATCTAATGAATCTGATTCCAAAATAGAACTTTTAACACCAAAAGAAATGTCAAGATGTTTATTTGAAAAGATTTCAGAAATTGATACTAATGAATATTTAGAAAATGATTTAATGAATATAAATTTTAACTGCAATATTTCAATCGATATGATAGATAGCAATCTAAAAAATATATCCAAAACGATCATTGAATTATTAGGTGAAAGTGATGGCTATTATTATATTTACAAAGATTCTTATAATTTAAAGAAAGCATCTGATGTTTTAATATTTAGGTATAAATGTTCTCAATGTCAATCTCTTGCAAAGAGATCTAGGAAACATGAAATTATTGAAAAACAAAGAGATTGAATACCAATTGAACGATTTAATTGTAATGGGTTAATTAAAATTATACTTAATATGAAAATCAAAACTGCATCGGTTCACCTTTAGCATTCTATCATTTACAAACGACCTGAACAATTTGGTATAAATAAAAGTATAAAAGAAGAAATTAGAAAAAATATCCATCTTACTCTAAGTGATATCTTTCAGATTTTGGAATATAATAATCCTAATTTAATACAAAAGCAAGTACATGCTTAGTGGTCAATATTATTTAAGCAAAAATATGTTAGAGATAATGATCAACTAATTTCAGCTGAAATTCTTCTAAAAAAATATGAATATAACATTTTATTTAGTAATACAAAAGACAGAGTTAAATTTTTAAGCTTTACTACACCATTTTTTGAAAAAATGATAAAAAATCGAGAAATTATTGTTGATGCAACATATAAGATTAATATTTTTGGATATGAACTTTATACTATTATTGGACAACTTGATGGAGCGGGTTTTGTAATAGCTTATCTATTTGTAGAAGGAAACAAAAAAAGTGATGGAGCATGCACTGAAATTTTAGCTTTATTTTTTAAAACATTATATAATTTAGGATTGAAAAATATTCAATTTTTTTAATAGACAAGGATTTTACACAAATTTCAGCTGCATAACAAGTATGGCCACATGTTAAAGTACAAATATGTCTTTGCCATATCAAAAAGGTATTATAAAAGCATCTTGCTAATAATACATAACTCAAAATAATAACATATATTTCTAATTCTGCACATGAAATATTTGATTTTATTGATATTGATTTTTATCCAATAATAACAAATAAGAAGAAAAGCAAAAAGGATTTTTATTTTTGTCTTCAGATATTATGATCAAAAATTATTAGAATTTTAAAAATACATTTACATTAACATTTATTAATTCTTAATATAGATGGAAATTATTTGTTAGCTGAAGAAATTTGAAGAGAATCTGTATATGAAATGTATGAATTTTGTTTTGTTAATGATTTACAAAATGTGTAGGTGTATTTATGGACTAATTGGTATCAAAAAGAAATTTGAATTTTGTGGGCACAATCTGCAATACAAGAAGGAATTTGCATATTTTATACAACAATGCTTTCAGAATCTCATTGGAAAGTAATAAAACAAGACTTTTTACCTAAATTTTTTTGGCTACGTCTTGATTTAATAATTTATATTCTTCTTACTCATTTAATTTCACATTATCAACAATAATATGATAAGTATTGATATAGTCGAGAAATACCTTTATAGAGAAAAGATTTTAAAAAAGAGTGGAATAGTTTGTGGAAAAAGGAAATTAATAATGAATATTTTACAAATACTGAAAAATGGACATATTCATGTTTGGGCTTTTTAAAAAATCAATTTTTATTTTGTAAATATTTAATTAGAGCTTTTCAATTTACAATTAATCCTTCTTTTTTTCACAAAGTTCAATGACAAGAAATACATCCATTTATATTTTTATCAACTGAAGAATCAGTATCAATAATAGAACAATCAAGCATGCAGAATCCATTTTTAATTTAAATAAAGGTAAATAGTATTTATATTATAATACTTATTATAACAAAAACTAAACTTTTTTAATTTAATTTTTAGATAATGTATTAAATAATATAAAAAATTTAATGAATGATAATAAATCTACTGGCTAATTTGTAATTGCAGATTCAATAAATGATAGTGATAATAATCAACTATTTCAAGATTATAAATCAACACTATGTGAAGCATTGAGAATTGTGGAAGAACAAGAAAATATTGGTAATAAACGATGGGCACAAGCAGTTCAGACAAGTTTTAAGGGTATTGAAAATTTAGTAACTGATATTAATGAATATAGAAGAAAAATTACAAATCTGCGTACTTGGAAAGATCATAATAAACATACAATGTTTTTAGAATAGTAATTTGGTTATAATTAGTTTAATTAATAAAATGGTTTCTTTAAATAAAAAAATCAAAGCATACATTTTATTATGAAATTGTTAAAAAAAAAATTTAAAAAAAATTTTTTCATTTTTTTTAAACATGGCAAATTCTGGCCAATCAATGTAAAATCACATGATTTACGCAGAATTTTTTGGGGTGGGGTAGTTAACATTGTCATGTGTATAACGTGACAATACGACAAAAAAACCCACTCTGCATAACCGTAATCGAAAGTTTTATGGGAGTAACTCTTCTATCTTATTTAGGTTTTGCACTGCTTAACAAAATGCATAAACTTCTTGTCTCCACCTAGCCCAATAGTGCGTCTGGCGGGTGATGAGTGCGTCTCGGTAGATGTACGAGATGGAGAAAATGTCCGGCCTTTTGCTAGCCCAATAGTGCGTCTGGCGGGTGATGAGTGCGTCTCGCAACTGGCTGATATGACTCCTATTGCAATTATGCAAACTTCCAGCGATGAATCAGCAACTAAAAAATCAAGAAACAATAGGCAGGTACATTCCGAGCATAAAGACTTCATGTATTTCCGATTTTATGCTATTTTTACAATAATAAAAAATTCTTTTAAGGATATATCCATTTTTAGCAATTAAAATTTCGTAACTCAATGTTTATCATGTATCATTGCATTTCACGTACTCCCAACGATATCCTCCAGCATAAGCTCAGAGTCCTCGACATACTACACTGATATTTGGCTGATTAATTCCAGTTGTACGTTGCGCTTCAGCTATGGATGGAAATTCTCGAGTAGAGCCATCGTCAAAAATCTGCCTAATAGGACGTTGGTATCTATTACTATTCTTGGAGTTACGAAGCCCGAGACGTACAGCGTGTTGTATATTTTCTTTTTGTGTGCACCATTCTAGATTGGATGCATTACTGTTAGTAGAGTCGCCATCAATATGATTTACATATTCTTTTCCTTCTTCTTTGGGACAAAATGCTAATGCCACCAAGCGATGAATAAGATATCCTTCTCGAGCAATTTTTCAATAACCTATATGCAATGAACCTTAGGTGATTTCACCATTTGTTAACTGAATTCTTCCAAGAGATGAAACTCTGAATTTTCGTGAATCAAGCTCTATTTCTCTCCATTCTTCATTTTGATCGGATTCTATGTGATCTTCATAATACATCCAACGCCAGCCACCAGAAGTTTTTTGCTTCCCACTACAACATTCTGAAATACAAGTTTCTGAAATTTTGAGTGCATTACTGGCGAGCCGAATAGAATCCCAAATCTGAACAACATTTCCATCTACCGTTTTCTGCACAATTTTTCTGGATCCGATACGACTGTGATTTGGGAATATCCTACGTTCAGCATTTTCTTTAGGAGTTACCCATTCCAAATTATCAGCCCGATTATCATGTTTATACATCAGAAATGTAATTATTTTATTAATGATTAATAAATATTCTTTAACGTAATCTGTTAAAATTATAACTAATTGATTATAAGGAAACATTTATAAAAATTAAGGGGCAATCCTTATGTAATATAGCAAAATATAAATCTAAGATAGACCATTGCTGTATAACATTACGTTAAAAATGTGATAATATTATATATTATAAACCGGCTTTTGTAAATTTATTGTGATTAAAAAAGATGTATAAAGAGAATATTATAATCAATAGTAACAGAATTCATTCTTAGAATCCTTTTTCTATTATTTCAAAGGCTTTACTAAAATATTCACCAGCTTTTGTACTTTCGTAGGTTCTACAGAATATCTTCAACATAAGTCAGTCTTATTGGTCCTCAGTCAATTCTTCTTGTGACGCATCAGGAGAACAAAAGCGCAAGCCAGTGCAAATTGAATACTAAATATAAAAAAGTTTAACGCGATCACAGGATCCTAAACAATCTATGTATAGGTCAGATGAAAATTTCAAAATTTACTATGATTAATAAGCAAACTATTTTCAATTCTGCTAAGTAAACTTTCATTATGACTTAAGAAAATTTGACTCTGCTAAGCAAACTGTTTTGTGAATTATATATATTAAGTAAAATTTGTGGTTTCTTTATATTAAACTCAAAATCAGTATTTAAAAACTACTTTTTATGATTATTACAATGTTAGAATTAAATGTCAGTAATTCAATAACTAAAACCCTTTAAATAACTGAGTTTTAGAAGTAAATCAGACTGACATAAATTATCAACAATATAATAAGTGAAGTTGTAGAACAAATAAAATTACATATAATATTCAAATTTCAAAAGTATATAACAAATAGTTAAAGCTTACGATGAATTTTCATACTTCATTTAGCAGTTTCTTTATATTAAATTCAAAATCAGCATTCAAAAACTATTTTTTGTAATTAAGTAAAATTGTAAAGCAAACAAAATCACATATAATATATATCATATATTGCAGACTATAGTACCCTGAGTCCTTTGCAAATTTTAGAGATTTTTTTATCGTATCTGGAAATATATTACACTGGTGGATACTATACATAGGAGGGATACAGAAATTGTAAAATACCCTAGATACTTATAATGTATAATATCCCCTTGCTACTAATATGATCTGTTAATTATTTATAATATATTTTACGTTTAGCTAACAATTCTAAATATAGTATTGAAAAATCTACATTTTTTCTATGATGTGCTTCGTCTTATTCTTATTGATAGCTTGAAACTGTTTACCTTATTGAAGAAAAATGAATATACTTTTCTTATTTTTTAAGTTTTACTATTTTACATATCTTTTTACATGTTTATTTTACAAAATTTGTTTTATCTTTTATTTGTAATGCAAAGTGTAAATGGTAGTTATTAAAAAAACCCAAATAAAAAATCATGCAACTGATTATCATAAAAATGATAGAGACAGTAAAATGTTAGAGAAAAACTTATGGTAATAAACTTTTTTGAAAATAATAGAAGTAATGTTCATAGAATGGTAAAAAAATTCAATATTAAACCAAAACAAGTCTATGATTAGATTAAAAAAAGGAAAAAATGTTAGAAATAACGTATCATATAACAAAAATCTATTCGGGAAAAGTTTCTAAATATCTAGATTTAAAAAATAATTTATTTTCATAGATTACTGAAAAAAGAACGAATGGAAATGCTGTAATCCAAAAATTAATTACTCATAAAGCTGTTGCTTTATCTAAAGATCAGGAATTTATGTTAAATAATCCAAATATTATTAGATTTAAATTTTCAAGCAAATGGCTTGATAGTTTTTTGGAAAGGTATGATTTAAGTGAACGCTGTAAAATAACAGTAGCATAATATTTGTCATCTAAACTAATTAAACTTCAACAATCCTTTTTGAGTTATATATTATATATGAAAATACAATATAAATATTCATTGAAATACATAGAAAATATTGATGAAACACCAATGTGATTCAATCTACTTAGCAATATTACAATCAATAAAAAGGAAGAGAAAACTGTATCAATTCATACAATAGGTATGAATGAACTTCTTTTACAGTTATACTTAAATGTATAGCAGATAGTACAAAACTTCCTGCTATATGTATTTTTAAACTAAAAAAAATCCCAAAAGAAAAATTTCCAGATGGCATTTATGTACACGTGAATAAAAAGGGATGAATAAATGAAAATGAAATGCTATAGTAGATTGAAAGAGTGTGAACTTTATAAAATCCATTTGGAAATTCACGTTCTCTTTTAGTTCTTGATGTCTTTTATGATCATACTATAGATAATGTAAAGAATCGATTAGTTGAAAAAAATACCAATATTGCTATAATTTCTAGTGATTATACTTCAAAGTTACAACCGTTAGATATTTTAATTAATAAAAGTTTTAAGTCAAAGATAAATTAAATTTTTATTTATAATTTAATTTTATATATTTATTATGATATTTTAATTTATATTAATTATATAATTTAGGTAAAAAAAAAAAAAGATATAATGAATGGATGGTCTCTAATGATCATGCATTTACTGCTATAAACAAAATAAAGTGACCTTTTTATTCAACTGTTATAACTTGGGTAAAAGATTTATGAGAAGAAGTTAGTGTTGATCTTATAAAAAATTCTTTTAAAAGCTGTAATATTTTCACAGAACTTGATGGATTAGAAGATGATTTATTGTTTGATTATAAAAAATTAGATTCAATAAATGATAATGAAGAGATAGAAGATCCTAATGATTAAAGCAGTAATGAAGAATATTCTAAAGAAGATAATTATAAAAATAATTGGAATATTGGAAATGATGCAAACAAAATCAATAATGAAATTGATAATGAAAATAATGAAAGTTATAGTGAGATAGAAGGAAAAGAAGCTGATGTAAAATAAAATAGACTTAATCAATTGATAAATAAAGCAAAAGCAGAGAAGAATATAAATATAGCAGTTTAATTATTGTTAAATTAGTGATTTTTTTTCCTTTATTTTTTTTTTTATTTTTTATTTTTTTATTTTATTCTAAAAAAAAAAATATGCAATGGTAATTTATTAATAAAAATAATTCTGTACACAAATATTATACATTATAAATAATATTTTCTAATATTATATCCCAGATACTTAACAAATTTTTGATGACTGAAATTAAAATTTCTGTGTATAGTATTTAAGTACTTTAAAATCATGCAAAAATTTTTTGAAGGGGTACTATACATAAAGGATACTATAGCCTATAATATATGGTAATATTCAAATTTCAAAGTATAAAACTGTTAAAAAATGTTAAATTTTACTATAAAATAACATCAAAAATTGTAAAAAATGTTACTAAATAAAAATGATGTAACTGTTAATGATTGATTCATAGATGGTATTGTAAAAATAAAAATTTGAAAAAAGAACAAATAAACTTATTTTTTCTTCCTTCTACCCACTAACCTCACTTTCTATTTATAGATTTTTTAGATTATACAGACGTATAAACAAATTTTACCTTATCACGTCAAAATTGCATTACACAATTTTTTGTTATGCTGTTACATCTAATTTTACTACATAATTATATATAAATTTGTTATACTATCATATATAAAAATAGCTTAAATTTTATTGCACAATCACATATAAAAATAGATCAAAATTTTGTTACACTATCATATATTAAATTAATTTAAAAATTATGTGTTGATTTTATTTATGTGTCTTAATTTAAGAGGTATAATTATCTTTTTTAGATTATATTTGACATTACACATATTTCCAAAATATGTTTCTGCTATACAAACCAATTACTGAGTTTGATAATTTTTATCTCAGCTATGTAAATACATATTTGATTATATTAAAATTTTGCTATCATAACAAAATTTTTTCAGGGTTAGACCTATAGTAATCTGCGATTTTCATAGATTTTCACTTTTTTATATACCTTTTTTCATGAAATATGCGAAGTTCTACAAAATGCAGACTCGTAAATTTTTTAGGTAATCACTTAATGCAGATCTATGATAACCTTCTAAATTGTAGATAACTGCAGATTTAACAATCTGAGATAATCTTAAACTTTAAATAGACTTTTTCAAAAAAAAATCACAAGTTTTTTTTATATTTTAAAGAGATATGAAACATTTTTTTATTTTGAAATTTATTGAATTATTTTTTTATTTTGAAGAGTTACCAAGCATTTTTTATTTTAAAAAGTTACAAAGTTTTTTTTTAAAATAAATATTTATTTAATAAAAACTTATTATCTTTGTTGAATCTTGGTACAATATGTATCTTTTGGTTTATAGAATCGATAGGGATTGCGTTATAATCTTTAGTATAATACAATTGTAAACAACTGTAAAGTTTGGTTTATTCAGTTCAATATTATATCAACAGATAAGAGCAAATTTATATGAAGTTTTTGACGATTCCTGAAAGAATTTGAATAGAAGTAATACCTTTTAAAATGATATTCTATTGTTAAAGACATTAACTAAAACAAAAAAGTATACTTTTAATATTAATCAAGGTTCACTTACTTTTCTATATCACGCTCCTTCATCTGAACTGTATTACTCTTGATCCTCTGCATGAGTTACCACAACTTTGCTAAACCATTCTTTACCTTAAAAATCTCCTATCATTCTTAAAATCTCATCACTTTCTAAATAGACAGCATTGTAGACTTTAATACAAAAATTATCACTTTCAGAGTCTTGCAAAGATATATTCAAAAAGATATCCAGTGTTAAAATTATCTGTGACAACCCTTCAATAAAATTTTGGTGTAATGGATTTTCAGATTTCTTTAAAGATTTTATTTTTATATTGATGGTGTTTAAAGATATTTCTTAGAGAATTTTTCTGAATCCTTCAGTTTTACGGTGAACAACTTTTTTAGTTGTTGAGGTCAATTCTTTACGCTTTACCTGTAAGTAAAAATTTATATTATTTATTTTACTATATTTTTATTAAGGTTTTAAATTTGGTATTTATCAGATTTTAACTAAACACATTTACTAGTTGACGCATTATTTCCTTTCTATTTGATAAATGGTAAGAATTTTTTACATAATATTTATAAAGAGTTTTGTATATTTTTGTTAATAAGCCATTCAGCGTTCTGTACTTATGAGTTGTAGCAACTAAACAAGAACGAAAATAAGATACAATGACAGCTTGCAAATTTCAGTTAAAAAAATTAGATATTCACTCACATGGTATCACCAGCTATATAGTTTAAGAAATCTACAATTCGTCGTAAATAATAAAGAGAAAATACTCTTAAAGTTAGTATACCAACCAATGATTTCTTCCTATTTTGATTAGAAACTTGTTAACTAATTTAAAAGTTGATATTATTCAGTTATTACTAACTATAATTACTTCAAAGACTTTTAATTACTGTTGGTATATGAATCTTTTCTACTTATTAAATACATTTTACCAAACCTTACATAAAGATTGCAAAGTTTGTCACAAGTTGTTTGGTTCCATTTATTGAAAATTTTATCTAACACAAAAATTGCAACTTTTATTATATGGCAATAGTCCGCTACAGTAATCACACTTAAATTGCCTAACTTACTTATAAATTTTAGGTCAAAAAAGTGAGGAATTTGGCAAAGACAATCATCAAAAACATTCAGTAATTTAGTTTCTCTGACTTTTTTCAAAATATCTTACGTAAATTCCAGTTGATATTTAAAGAACCTAAGATTGATATAGTACATACAATCAGAAATGTAAGTTTCATATATATTCAGATTTCTAAAAAAAAATTAATTACTAATTCATAATTAATTTCAAATAATTTAAATAATAATCAATATTTACGTAAAGTCTCAGAACGTGTTTTTGGTATAATGTACAGAGTGATTCTTTTCTTGACCATCTTTAATTATATTCTGTATATTATTATGTGTTCTAAGAGAAGCTGGCTTATAGTCTATTTGTTTAAATTTTTTCATAAAACTATACAAGTATAACACAGCATTTTGCTATGCATTGACTTGAATGTAGTAGTTACTTCATCTGCTTTAAGTATATCTGAAAGGAAAAATAAAATTTATATAGTAAAAGTCATTTTATATCCTTTGATTCTAAAATATAATGTATCAGATTTTTCTAATAAGGATCGAAATATGATTTTAAAATATTTGTGATATGTTTCACATTGAAAGCTTTGTAAAAATTCAGTTATTTTAATTCTTGAATTCTGAACCTTAAGTAAAAATTCTAAAAGGACTTTTGACTTTAGAGAATTTTG